CGCCCGTTTGATAGGAATGGGTGGAGGAACTTCGACCTCGTCTACGAGGAGCAGCTCTTCCAGCACGTCGATGTCTTCGGCCACAACGTCTACGAGTACTTCGACATCTTCAAGCACTTCGACATCTACGTCCGTTCCAAGCACGACAAAGACTTCCACGCAATCTTCCACCACGTCAGTATCTACAATCACGTCGTCTCCAACGTCGACCCCAAGCAGCATCACTCGTACCGTCCGACCAACATCCACGGGCTACGCCAATCCCGTGACCGTCCTGCCAGACTGTGGCGTCTTGAACCATCCAAGCAAGCTGTTCTACCTCCGTACGCACGTCACGCTGGGCGACCCTCGCTTCGAGAACCTCTACATCCAATCCAACCCATACGGTGCGTATCTCTCTTCCCCCTCCATCTTTTCAAAAACGCTAACACCACCCCCAGGCTCACCCGCCCACATCCCCCATCTCCTCTCCAACCGCATCACGGCCGCGCAAGGCTACTACGACGCCTCAACCTCCTCGCTCGCCTTCTATCACGGCAACTGCGACTTCACGGGCCTCAGCATGGACCGCGACACGGACGGCGACGAAATGTCGCCGTGCTTCGAGACGCAGAGCGTCGGGACGGCGCGCATGAGCATCGCGTACGGCGAGCTGGTGTGGGAGGATAATCGCTGGGGTAGTTGGTTGGTGTGTCAGGTGGGCGATCGGGTCGAGTTGAGCTGGTGGGATGTTATTACGGATAGGGGGATTGATACGGGGTATTGCGCGAAGGTTGCGCTGTTGTTGGAGAATTTGTAGGGTTTTTTCTTTGGAGGGGAGGGGATGATGGGGGAAGGATATATGATGGAATAGGGGGTGAGAACTTGTAATTATCGCCTTGGGAGAGGGGGCCTTTTAGCGACGTGGTTTGGGGAAAAGTTCGGTTTCGCATGGGGAGCGACTTTTGTAATTATTCTCTCGTCTGTGACAGAGTTGGTTGGCATTGGGATGGGCGCACCTCGGGGGTTGGTGGTGGATAATGAGTGATACTTTCGCTTTAATATGGGTTTATTTAATGTAGTACAGCATCGCTGGGTAGATGAACGATTCTAGTTTTGCTTCAAAATGGAGTCTGGTTATTGTTGTTCGTCCTGATTCACTACTTCGAGAACCTGTAATCTCACAAAATCTTTCGAGGGAGAAGTTCCAAAATCGACACAACCGGGAAATCTCCCCCATTTGAAGGCTGTAGCGTACTTCTTCTCCCAAAAGCTTCGTTCAGGCTGTTCGTGATTTCGAACGAGGACTCTCAAAGTTCTCTACGGCTAGAACTTCACCCCCTCCCTGACGAACTTCGCCACCCCTGCACCTTTCCCACTCTCCTATCCCATCCACAATACCACGAGCATTTCAAACCCCTCGGTCTCGCCTCCCACTCCCCTCCGTCCCCCGAACCACGAGCATCATTAAAAATCCCTAATTCTACCGTCAGCCCTATCTCAATCTCCCCTCGCGTCCATTTCTTAGGCCTAACCCCGTCTCGGCAACCCAGCGGCTGACTGAGCATAGCGCATGACTAACCACTCAGTCATCGTCAGACCGGTTTTTACACAAACCAAGCTTGCAAAAAACACGACAAGGAAAGAACCAGCTAATCGTCCCAACGATCCAATCACAAGAATATACGGCAGCATTTCGACCCCATTTTTCGGCGCCGATGGTTAGGCAGACGAGGGTACGTTGGCGATTTGGTGTTGGCGAGGGGAGCGAGGGGCGTGCTGAACACGAGGGGATCATGCGGGTGCTGGCTCAGCTGCTGCGCGAGGGAGATAAGTATAGCCTCCAACGAGGGCGATAGCGGGATGGCAGGAAGGTATATAAGGGAGATGACGGTGGGGATGGAGATGGAGGAGAGCAGTATCAAGTTTTTGGACTTTTAGCTTTTTCAGGTTGTCCTTCTTTCGGATACTTCTTCTACATCAATTGCTATAACTACTTCTACTTTTAAAATCAAAAGATACTTGATTTAGTGCCATTGTCCAGATCAGACAAAACTCATCATGTCAAAACTCATCGCAATCGTCGGTATCACTGGTAACCAGGTATGTATACTCTGTGAAAAGCCCACAGCCCAGATCAAACATCCCAAAAGACATTCCTACTTTTAAATCTCCTCTCTCCCAAAACCAAACCCCCCTTCAAACTCAAGCCCAAACCACCAACTCTTCCTCCAGGGCGCCTCCGTCGCCGACGTCTTCCTCGCCGCCGGCTGGCGTGTCCGCGGCATATCACGTGACCCATCCAAACCCTCCAGCAAAGCCTGGAGCGACAAGGGCGTCGAAATGGTCGCCGCAGACCTCGACGACGCCGCCGCCCTCACCGCCGCCTTTGCGGGCGCCACCGTCATCTACGGCGTCACCGATTTCTGGCAAGGCATGTCCAACCCCGCGAACCACGCCAAAGCCGCGAAAGAAGGCCGCACGATTAATGAGATTTGCTATGACATTGAAGTGCAGCAGGGGAGGAATATCGTGGATGCGGCGAGCAAGACGACGGATAGTTTGGAGTATTTCGTGTTGAGTACGTTGAGTTGGGCCAAGAAGTGGAGTAAGGGGGATGTGACGTTTAATCTGCATTTTGATGCAAAGTGGATGGCGGTGGAGTATGTGAGGGAGACGTATCCCGAGTTGTGGGGGAAGACGAGTTTGTTGCAGGTTGCGCTGTTTGCGACGAATTGGCAGAGTGGGAAGACTATGAGGCCGAATAAGGTATGTGGAAGTTTTTTTGAGTCTTTTTGGTGGGTTTGTTGCGCGTGGTGATGAAGGAGGTGGATGGCGAGAAAGGCAGTGGGTCAAATTTTTGATGGCGAAGGCGTAGGCTGAAGTTGGAAGATGCTGAAAGAAACTGCGATGGAAAGTCTAACGTGTCAATAGCAAGCCGACGGTACTTATCTTCTGAAGATTCCAGTCCGTCCGGACAGCAAGATCCCTATGGTTCATCCTCGCAAGGACTGCGGTAAGTTTATCCCTTATCTGACAGAAATTTTTTCAGAACTAAGTGTCATCCAGGCCACTTTGTCCACGCTCTTGTCTCGGTCCCTCCAGGCAAGAATCTCCTCGGCGTCGCCAGCAGCCTCAGCTGGTCCGAGTGGGCCCAGCTGTGGGCAAAGACTGTTGGCGTCGAGTGCAAGTACGAGCAGATGCCGTATGGCGAGATGGACAAGCTCATGCCTGGTGGTATGGGAGCCGAGTTGGAGGATATGTTCAAATATATGGACCTTTACGGCTACGACGGGAGCGATCCGACGGTGGTTTTGCCAAAGGATGTAAGTGTTGATGGTCTTCGTGTTTGTATTATGCGTTAGATTGCTGACGTGTCGCACAGCTTGGTGTTGATGTCCCGGTCACGACGATCGAGGAATATATGAAAATGGAGGATTGGTCGTCGGTCCTGTCGGCCTGAGATGTTCCGGCCGATGCGGAAGCGCGGGGTGCTGCTGATGCTGAATTCCGTTTCACATTGTTGATAATCAGTATTTAATTTACATTTTGGTCTTTTTCCCATATCTTTCCATGTCCCAAAAATCGAGCCGTGAGGGTATTCGAATCCGAGGTAAGCAAGCAAGAAGCGTGGAGTTGTTCCCAGCTTGGCGCCGGATATCCCATCCCGCTTTTCCTTCCCACGGGCGACGACCCTATTCCCATCCTTGGGATGTCCCTTGCCGTTCCTTTCCAACATCACCCCACCTTGGCTCGATGTTCGCCACATCTCGATCGCGACCCTTGTAGGGCCTCTCATATCGCTTCCCCGGCAGGAATCTCGACCCGTCCGGGGAACCCTCGTCGCGAACCCCTGGCCGAGGGGCGGGAACCTCTCCACATGGAACCGTACCGAATTTAGGATCAGGCCCACCGTGACCGTCGCAATTCGCGGTGCCGGAGCTTTGAGAAATCTCTAGCGCTTCTCGTACGAGTCCATGGCCTTTTGGAGGTCTTCGAGGGAGGTGCCGTCGCCGTAGGCGTCAAGGAGGGCATTGTTGCGCTCTTGCATTGGGTCGACGGAGGCCTTTCTTGGTCCGGTGAAGCTGGACATTGTCTGAGTCGCGGCGACGCCTGCTGGGGTTGTTAGTTCGGGATGTTCTTCGGGAGAGTTTGTGGGGTTTGCACGGGAAAAGTCTTACCCAAAACTAGGACGGCGGTTACAGGAACGACACTTGAGGGAGGTTAGTATGTTTTCTGCTGAAGGGAGATTTCGGAGGTCTCACACTTTGGCGGGGATTTTGCTTTTGCTCGCGGCAGTTGCAACTTTGGCGGCTTGAGTCGAAGAGGAAGGTCGCGACTGCCATGGTGTGGTGGGTAAGGCTGTAGCGGAGGAATATGGACGACGAAGACTTTCTCCAGGCATGTTGTAGTTTTGGTTTGCAGGATATTCTTGTATTGTAGGTTTTTTGGAAGTATTTGAAGAAGCAGAGTAGATTCACAGAAAGAAGAAAAAGGACAATTCGCAGTGGTCTGACAGTAACGCGATATGGTGCGGTTGTACGTACCCCACAGTATCCGAGGGTGAGGGGGCATCAGCCTATATATCGGCGAAATTGGGCTGTACAGGGCCCTTGTGCCACGCATCCCATCACGTTTTCAAGAAGAAACTCTTGCCTGATGAGCCGTATCGTGTGCCAGAAGGAACCAGGCAGGTCCTCGAAAAAAGAGGCAGCTGATAGTGGCTATGCTTCGCCATGACGATGCTGCCCGACGTCGTTGCTGGAGGCGGATGCAGTCCCGCCCCGCGGGAGGTGGCGGGAGGAGTGGGTGGCTGTAGATGGCGTGTGTATGCGGGGAAAAGAGAAACTGGGGGAGGGGTAGGGTTCGAGATTGGTTGGTTCTGGGCTGGGCGACACTTCGGAATGATGTGTGGGGAACCTTCGACGCGTGCCCCAAAGGCAAAGAGAGCGCCTGCCAGAGCTGTAGGTCACTGACTCTTGGCAATATAACATTGTTAAATTGAATAATATTCTCGACAGAGTCCGATGGTCTAGTGGTATGACGTTCGCTTCACATGCGAAAGGTAAATATTCCTTTCCCCATCTTTGATGGGATTTAAAGCTAACAACGTCTTCAGGTCCTGGGTTCGAGCCCCTGTCGGACTACGCAGTTCTGATTCTTTTTTGCCTCTGTTCTGGTGTTTCTAGATCCTTTTTGGTGGTTTGTGGTTGAGTTTTGGGTGGGGAGCCGAAACCGGAACACAACGAAAAATGCCGACCTCGCACCGCGGAAACAACAACACGGGACCATATTTTGGCGATGAAACAATGCTCGTAGCTGCCGTGGTGCATCGCTTGGGGAGGTCTTTTCGGAAGAGCTTGGGGCGACGGTTACGCGAACGGTTGGACTTGTTCGAGCCCTATCGACTGTTAATACCCTTCTCTGCTTGGACAATAACGTTGGGCCAGGCATCATTTCCTAGTCACTGGTCCTGTCTCTACGAAATTCGCGATAATTTCATCTCAGGAGTTCGTCTGGGAATGTGAATTTTGGCCGGGTCCGCAAAGATCTTGGAAACTCCTGATATCCTTTCTCCAAACTCTTTGACTGACAGTACTGCAACTCAGGAGTCCTTGGCAAGTCGATCGATAATGTGTCGTCCACATCAGATGATTTCTTCGTGGGCTCGTGGGGCTTACTGGTCGGCCTTTTGATTTTGCAGGACGGAATCTTCAAACACTCGGCGACGAAAAGTCCGCAGTGCTCCGAGCTCTTGCTGAAATAAACATTTGTACCGAACGATAAAAAGATGGACGCTGTTCAAATGGGTCTGGGAGACATGTGTTGAGACAGTAAAGCAGTCAGGCTCGGATTAATACAAACAACGCAAGACGAAAAGAATATAGACCAAGAACATACCAAGAATTCGATCCAAGGAACAAGATAATTCGGATCAAAAAAAGACTTCATCGGAGAGCATCTTGCCATTAACACCAGGGTCTTTCCAAAAAGCGTCCCCGACTATGGCCGGAGCCGAGAAAGTCTTCTATCATGTCGATCGGAAGTAGAGACTGCAAAAAGAAAAGGGTGTAATTGATGATATATGCAGTCTCCATCTTGCAGGCCCATGATGCTGTCTGGCTTTCTGCTGGCTCTGCTAAGGGAAGGGTTGAGGTTGGAACAGAGTTGATATCATGTGACCACGCGTCGACGCCTTCCTAAGCACTACTCCATATCTCGACCTTCATTTCTATCTTTCTAGCCTACCATCAGCACCACTAACGATACCTACTTAACCCTCAATTTCTGCCTAACAAGATCAAAGTGGTAATAGAACAAGAAAGAGAGAACAGACCAGAATCTCTGTTCATTTTGTAATACTAAGACTGACTCCATCAGCACACGTTCTGGCCAATTGGTTGACTTCCCCGAGTCTCCAAAGTGCTGTGCACTGGATGAAAAGAGCCTGGCAAATATACATGTATACCCCAGCAGCTATTTACCACACCGGCTGACCGACAGTGAGCTCGACTACATCAGCAGAAGTCCCAAAGGTCTACATACAATATTCTGCTCCCCAAACAAAACTCAACCACAAACCACCAAAAACTATCCAGAAACACCACAATAAAGCTGCAAAAGAGATCCATCGGCTCAGAGAGAAGAAAATCAAGGAAACTCAGAGGTTTCCCAGGGACTTCAAGCTAAGCGCTGGATGTCGTCGGAGCAACATAATACCATTGCCATCGACTTGGGATTGCCTCGATCAAGCAACAAGTCGTCTGAAACAGCTTCGATTGGGATTCAATTGAGTATTCGGGCGCCTGTTATCCCACATGCGAGATATTGCCCCTGATATGGTATGGCCAGCTCGATCTTACGATTTCAATGGTTAACCGAAAACGTCTACCATTTGTCTCTTTCCTCCGTGTATCTCGCCAGCGTTACTATCTATAGCTTGTCCTTTCAGGCACGTTCGATCAGACATTTCATAAACTTAGATCCCCCGCCATCAGAGCCTCTCACAGTCGACCAATGCGAGTTGAAAGTGCGCTTCCTTTAGCTTAAGCTTGTATCAAGATGCGTTCATTGGGTTCAGAGCAAGTTTTCGGCATTAATTTTGTCTTAAGCCTCTTACCCCTTCACCGAATCTCCTCCAGCATCGCCTTTGGCGAGTCGTAACAGCAGAGACGGCGCGCAGTCCAAGCCAGGCCCTGTTACGGGAGTACCACAATCTTTCGAACATTCCAATTAGTTCAAAATGGGAAAGCTCCGCTGTTGTGGTCGACGATTGGATTGATCTATCTAGGGGGCAGGCGAGCTTATGTACACGGGTGCCAAGCTATCACGTGATCCTGCACAACACTCCCCCTCAGCTTGTAGTTCTCCAAGCTGGCTCGTTGATAGCTGATAGTCAATCAAGCGTTACTCTCTCCCTACGTCCTTCTCCATCCTTTTCATTCCTGTTCCTCCACTCCTCATGCTTCTTTCTGAATTCCTGCTGCAAGCGTGGTGGAGCCCATTGTGGCTCTTTTATCCAACATACTCCGTCAGCGTGTCTTCGAGAACAGATAGCACACCATGTGTCCTTATGTACACTTCCAACTGCTGCCGTACTCCAGTAGGGATTGGCTCTTTGTCGTGTGTATTCTGCGCGAAGGCGACTGAATGCATACTCAAAGGTTTTCTGTGAGGTAGGCGTATTTGGGTTGTTCATGTGCGAGTCGATCTGGAAAGCGAGGTCTTCGTGCGTCTCCCAGATAACGTCGAGAAGGATAGCGGTCATGGTCAGGTCGGGGATGGGAGCTCCGGCAATTTCGCGTGAGAGAGCCTGGGCGTCCTTGAATGTGCGGTAGAATTTCGAGAGGTTCGGGTCGGAGTCGAATTCCGTGACTTTCACACGGCGAAGGGTACGTATCGCTTGCGACAGCTCTGTGAAGCCGTTCAAACCGTATTGTCTCTCAAGGTGCTGCCATATCTCGGCTGCATTCATGCCTTGGAGTTCCATCTGTACAGACGGTGACACGTTAAGAACAAGCAACGATCTCGCATATTGCTTATGCTGTGCTGGTGGTGACTCATCGTCTTCTGCGATTATCCCCCATAGATCAAGAGACTGTGCAATTGCTTCGATGTTCGTGGCCCAACTCTTGTACTCCAGTTTTCCTTGCAGCTTCTCCGGAACCATTTGTATTGCCGGAAACCGTGAGGGAACAGCAGAATGGAACATAGCTGTGGAGCCGGCAGTAGGAGATGGTGACCGTGTCTTCGATACACGTTCAATGCTCACTCGAAGGTTGTCGAATTGCTCCCGCAAAACCTGCAACTGCGATCGTAATTCTTCGTTTTCAGCGGAGGTGGCCTGTGCTGTGTTCTCTTCTGGATTCAAAACAGTACGACGCGTACCATCTTCCGAGGATGATGAAGCGGTCTGGCGTTTGGGCGGCATGGCTGAATGAGCCTGGTGGTTGCTCGATTGGATTCGCGCGGTCAGATGCGCGTTGGCTGATACTCAAGAAAGAGTAGGCCAATGGTCGGGTTTCGGAGGTCGCGAATGCTCGGTCAGTTGGAGCTCTCCTGGGGGTGAATCGTCTTGCTGTACATAGAAAGAGGTCGTATATATACAGAGGTGATGAATGTTGATGCGTGCTTGCGTGAGCGGCGAGGGCTCATAACCTGTTGTGGTCGACGATTGGATTGATCTATCTAGGGGGCAGGCGAGCTTATGTACACGGGTGCCAAGCTATCACGTGATCCTGCACAACATCCGCCATTAAGGAAAACACGTATATCCATAGCGAAGTATTGCGTGGGAAGAGTCCAGGCCCTACTTATTAAGGATCTACTGTCCGAGAAATTCTAGCACCTATTGTGCTGACAGATAGTTGTCATCGAAGCTGATATAAATCAACGCCAGCTCAGATCGGTTTGGATCGCCATCAAATCTCCAAGAGGAGGAGGTAGGCGCTCGTCGGGGCGACAACCTTTCAGGAGCAGACAAATTGTCGACCAACTTGGGATATCTCCGTCGAAATGGAACCATGAGCTTAGGCACATATAAGGGTTGAAGGGGAGACGCACGACTGGGTATAATCATGCAGATTCTCCAACTAATGTCCTGTAGAGCCAGGTTCTTATTCACACCATTATACAAAATTCAGCAGGTCCTCAATCTCCATATCCGTCCCTGATTCCACATGTCGGCTAAAGCTTTGGACGGACTTCTTCGGTGTTCCTTTGCCCACCTCTCTAAGAGGCTGCACGGTCGTATCTCTATACCCCTTTCCATCTTTTAACAGCTTCTTCTCCGACCGTGACTTAGCAAGCCTCGCGCACCTTCCCCTTTTCCAGGTGCTTCAGCTTCGTGTGTATCGCCTCTAGCAGTGCTTCTAGGGAGTTCTTAGCAACAGAATACGGGATATCTCTGTCGAAACGAAGCAACAAGGACATTCTAAAAAGATGGCATAGCTAAAAATTCATTGATGAAATAGGAGCTGATCTAAATGTACAAGGAATCCATATACTACACCTCCTCAACCCTCCCCCTGAGTATCTATCAAACCTTGTGAAAGGTGCTGACAGCGAAAGGGGAAATGCGAATCAACCACAGGGAAGCTCTCGGTCAGGGAGTTCAGGAGAGACTTGAGTATTGACAGAGGCTATGGAGGAGGTTTATATACACATAGAACAGGAGTGGAATAGAATGGTGTTGTTTCAGCTGTACAAGGTACACGCTTCAGCTGAGCAGGGATTAGACGTGCTGCTCAGCTCCTTCAACACACCAATCAGGTTTGACAGTATCCTCTCCCTCCTCATCCCCATCTCTCTCCCACCCGTCCCCAAGCACAAACCCCGCCGCCGACCTAACCGCCAACACATCGTCCGAGTAAAGCCTCTGAAGCGTCCTCTTCCTCAACTCTCGCAGCGCCTGCCACTGCTTCCTCCTCCTAGCATCAGCCTGCATGAGCTCCGCTCATTCGTTCCAGAGCACGCTTTTGGCATAACCCCAGTTTCCAGCCTCGCGAGCCTGTCCCGAATGACCTCTGGGAGCGCGTCCGGAGAATCTCTGATGGCTAGGATAGCGCGCGCGATACGGGCGAGGCTTTGGTGGATGTTGGAGACGAAGCTGACGTGCATTGATTCGGGCGAGGAGAGGCTTCGGTCG